TCATTCTTTTACATGTGGCTGTCCAGTTTTCCCAGCACCACTTATTGAAGAGACTGTCTTTTCTCCATTGTATATCTTTGCCTCCTTTGTCATAGATTAGTTCACCATAGGTGCATGGGTTTATCTCTGGGCTTTCCATCTTGTTCCATTGATCTGTCTCTGTTTTTGTGCCAGTACCCTATTGTTTTGATTACTGTAGTTTTGTAGTATAGTCTGAAGTCAGGGAGTCTGATTCCTCCAGCTCTGTTTTTTTTCCCTCAAGACTGCTTTGGCTATTCGGGGTCTTTTGTGTTTCCATACAAATTTTAAGATGATTTGTTCTAGTTCCGTAAAAAATGTCATTGGTAATTTGATAGGGATTGCATTGAATCTGTAGATTGCTTTGGGTAGTATAGTCACTTTCACAATATTGATTCTTCCAATCCAAGAACATGGTATATCACTCCATCCATTTCTTTCACCAGTGTCTTACAGTTTTCTGCATACAGGTCTTTTGTTTCCCTAGGTAGCTTTATTCCTAGGTATTTTATTCTTTTTGTTGCAATGGTAACTGGGAGTGGAGAAAGAAAATTTCTTCATCTTAGGCGACCAAAGTCTCTGACTGAAGGAAAGTTCAGGCTTCAGCATACCTTATTTTAGATGAAAAGTGAGTCTGAGGAGTGATCTTACAGTATGGTTAGGGGTCTGCGAAATATCTGGGCAAAAGAAAAAAAAGCAAAAGCCCCACCCTCACTGCCAAATCACACACACACACACACACACACACACACACACACACTCTCACACAACCAGCCAACCAACCCAGGGAGACACATTTCTGGGAGCTCTGGTGGAGTCAGGGCTCATCGGCACTGGAGAAGTGATCTACTGCAGCATTTCTCAAAGGAGGTTCCGTGGGTGGATCAGCCCCATGAGATGCTCTACTGAACAAGGGTTCGAGGACAGAGAAATTTGAGCATATTTACTCTTCCTTGGACATTCCCTATACTTGCTAGGCGACTAAAGCCATTGAGAATTTCTCCAGTAAAGACAAATGACCATTTCTGCTTCTCCAGTATTTTCCAACATTGACCATGTGCTTCTTCCCCACTCCCATTAAATTTATTAACATCGAGTGGAATTTGCTTCTTGAAACACTTTGGGAAATGCTGATCCTTGAAGTATAAAAAGGCCTAATATGGAAGGAAGAATCTACACAAACAAAAGAGAAGAAAACACTAAATGAAAACAGAGAACCCAAACTCCTGGCAGGCTCTAGTGTCCTCTAGCGGCCACTGTACAGTGACTGTGATGTCCACCTAACACTGTCACTTGAATCCTCATCTTAATTCCCTCAGGGTGGGAAAAGAACTGGGTTGGAAGTGAGGAGTCATGGATTCCATTCTCCCTTCTGCAAGTTGCCTTTGGATAATTAACTTCCCAATCTGAATCTCATTTTTCTCAATTATAAAATCAGAGTTTAAAGAAATGATCTTGATTGTACTTCCTAGGCCCAATTAGATGATTCTATCACAACTATTATAATGGAAGAAAAAGAGAAAATAGGATTTGCTTGAGAAGAATGCTCTTTATGATTATGATTCTGGAATGCAAAATGAATGATGTATGAAATAGAAATCCTACAGTACAACCATATGCAGATAGGAGATTCTTAATCATTATTCTGGCCATTTTGACTGATGATTGAGAGTCTCAGGAGGACACCTGGAATAAACCTAGCTTTAGTTAGACAGTTTTTAAAAAAGAACAATCCAGAAACTTTCAGCAGCCATATTTTTAAATAAAGCCAAAGGGCAACTTTAAAATTAGTTCTTTTAATTAATCGTCCTTCAGGTTGTACAGTCTGTGACTACATATTCTTGGTTATTAAACAGTTTGTACTTCAAAAAAAAAATCAAGATGTGGCTGAAATGACGGATTCAAATGAAGCTAACCTAAAAATATGGAGAAATACAATACAGCAAATTATTATGCAAGTGTCTACATATTTTTCATCTGTCAGTATTTTTCCTTTAACAGAAAATAAAATTAAACTAATTAGAGAGAGAAATTATAATTGCCAGGGAAGCTAAATTATCGATTTGATGCCACAAATCAGCTGACAGTTTTTTTCCTATAATTCCTGGGCTCTGTAACTAAATAATAATTTAGAGATTTAAGACTTAATGTCACTTACAAGTTGCATCCTGGATTGTATGAAACAAGAAACTGAATCAATCCCCAAATTGATACCAAATTATCTTAAGATGTATTTCCATATTGAATTGAATTATTTTTTTCAGGATCCATTTGCAATAGTCAATTTCAGATATAATGTTTAGTACACATTTGATGAGAATAGTAGAAATCCAGGTCTTGAAAGTGGAAACTAATAATAATATAAACTTTTCCTCCCTGCTACATGTGCCGTGAGGCAAATGTGCCCTCTCATCACACTGGATCTAATCTATAACTGTGGTTCTCAAGCATGACTACACATTTGAATTGCCAGGGGAAGTTTCAAAATTTTCTAATGCCCAGGGTGCACCCAAGACCAATCAAATCAAATGTTCTGGGGGTGAAACCTGGGTATAGAAGTATTTTTATAAACTTCCCAGGAGATTCTCATATGCAGCAAAATTTGATAAGTGAAGCCATATAGCCCAGTCAATGAATTTCCAAGTAATCTGGCTGTACCATTTTGGTTTAAAATTGGCAGTGTGAAGCACATCTATTTCTGTTTTTCAGTTCTTCTATAGAAATCTCAACAGAAATTGAAGCTACTCCTTTTAAACAAACAAAGTGTAAAATATGACCTTGTGGTAGATAATTTTTGGAGTGTCTGCTTGGTTCATGAGAAACTCCTTAACTGCCTTTCTCCACCATCCACGCAAGAGGGTTCTCATGGCCATTGGACCAAAGTGGGCCAGTTGGAATCCCAAGTCTGGGATATTTGAATTGAGATTGAGAGTTAATATTTCTGTGTGGTCGGATGTATGGGCTGTGGTTGGCTAACTGTTCCGGTGGGTGGACTGAATAGCTGAGAAAATTTTGGGGGGAGAGAAGAGAGAAGAGGTGGGCAAAATGGATCAGAGGTGAGTCACAGAGACAACATTTTTAGATGCCCAGGGTAGACATCTGTCATGTTTGCCTGCTTAGTGTCCCTCTCCATTTTGTTAACAGCACCCTCTTCTTCAGGGACTATCTTGTTTCCATTCCATGTAGTCCTGGGGATAACCGAGAAGTCAAGCCTACTAGCCTCTTGCTCCTTGAGCAGAGACTCAAGGCAGAAAAAGGTGGCACCGTCATTTTGGAGACCATTGTCGAGAGAAACTGATAGTTCCTACTATAGGATCCCTGGAGCTGCCTGATTCCTGTGCCTCCTGGGGTCTGACTGTTCAACAACTCTTTGAATTCTGGGATCAAGGGTGTCTGTTGCTTGCAGTTCAAGAATCCCAACAGAGTTTTCTAGGTTCTAGCTTGAGTCCACTCAGAGGCCTTGCAGCATTCTGTTTGGGGGTTCATGAGGCACTCTTGTATCCTAAATTACTTTTACCTCATGATGTTTTTGACATTTGTAACTTCACGTCTTAACTAGTATAGACATTTAGTTGACTCCCCTATTTATGTGGATGATCCTGAGACTCACTAAAGAAGGAACAAGGCTTTCCAAGTCCTACTCCAATCTTCAAGGTCATAACCAACTCTTTCTATCATTCTGCATGCTTTCTGAAGCTGCAGTTTTTTCCTGCATTTTGTAAGTATGAAGATCTTGGAGAAATATTAATAACAAAGGTATTCTTTGTGAACAATAGGATTAAAAGCTTATCAAATACCAGCACGGTTCTAAATAATGTATGATCCTTTGAACAGGAGCACAAATCTACTCCTGAAAAAAGAGCTCTTATTTCCTCCATCAAGCAACATTAAACGAAATTACAGTACTGCCGTTAAATCCAGCTGCACAGCAATAATTTTTCATGTCCCATGGTACACTCTTCTTCATTAAAAAAATCTTTATTAAGTAACAAAACATGCCAGCTAATATAAAAAGTACTTCCTTGAGCTCAGTATTTATATACTTGGCACACAATTCAAGGCTGGTCTACTCGGATTCAGGAAGCACATGATTTTCTTCCTTGTGATGCAGCGAGTAGAGTTACAGTGACACATTCTTAAAGACCAAAGGAAGCCTCCTCCATTTCTCCAGGTCCAAGTCACAGAAGTGGTGAGGTATGTTCAAATGGGTGACTTCTTATTAAATTTGGATCCACGGTGCTAGATTTGGATCATATTATTAGAATTCAGAGATAATTGGTAAAAATGTTTTTTTAAAAAAGCACAGAGCTAAGCAGCTTAAGTTATTAACAATGTTGTGGTCTTTGGCAAACTCTGGATGAACTATAATGAAATGGAAATAGCAAGGTCGGTACCAATAAAATATGGTCATAAAGTCTGACTACTTCACAGTTAATCCTTTTTCTAATAATCTAAGGAAAGGTAAATACCATCTAGGAATATTCTGGTAAAGAAAGTGGGGAAAATAAAAAGAATCAGTTTAAAAGGTATTCTTCTGACCATCATACTTTATTTTTAACACAAATAGGTAATAAAATAAAAGGTACCCAGATATCTTTTAAACAAGAATACATTTTCTGTATATCAAGCCATCATTTACAGATTAATACTGCAAAAAATTTGCATTAATAACTCTTAATTCGTTTACATAAAATTATATGAAATAAAGAAAACTGTATGTAGGATGAGAACCAACAAATAAGAACCAATTCAAAGTTCTAAAATCTTATCTCTGTATTAATTCCTTCACAGTTCCAAAAAATCACACCCATCTACAAAAAGAATATAGGTAGTCTTAACAGTGAACACTACGTACAAACTAACTTCATTTCTCTTAGTTACTGTTGATTCCATGGGCCTGGCCAACACATGCATTGTGATGCCGGTCAGAACTGCTATCCTGCTCCGCCGGGGGTGGCCATTCTTTGCCCTGGAAGGAGGCATTACACCAACTCGTAGTATTTCCCAGTCTGGGGATCAAAGTAACAGTTCAGACATGGGTCATACAGCAGAGTCAGCACTTCCTCGTCCTCTTCCACCCTCAGGTCTTCTCCACCTGTGGGAAGGGGAACCACCGTCATGTTAGCTGTTGGCCTGGCCCATAATTCTGAAACTGCAACAGAGAAGGGCAAGGAAGCAGGAATCATCTTTCCTGGGAGACTGTCCTTATGCGGGCAGGATGTCAGTGCTGGAATGGAGGAGCGCTGCAGATGTGATAACTCTATACTTGCAGTGTAAGACGGAGAAGAAACGGTGATCACAGGGGCCAGAAACGAGCGTGGAGAACTGGCAGGGAGAAGAAAGGATTAAGGAAGAGGGGGCAAAGGACTAAAGAGTTATGAGGATTAGGGATACCTGAACAGGATTCAAAATTTGATTATCACAGCTCTAGACCTCTTCATGGGCCAGAGCTGCACAAATGCCAAACAGTGCAAATTAATAAAGAGCTCAATCCCCATTCATACAACCTAAAAAGACTACCAAACAAACATGAATTAAAATAATGTTTAGAAATATGATACTCAAAGCATAGAACACAAATGGAAAACAATGTCAGATGATCTGTAATTTTATTAGTGGTAGCAAGATCTGTCAAATTTGCCGGGAAAATGAACATGGCTTGATTTTTTTTTTCTTGTGACGGCTATTTAGATGGTTTGGATGAAGAGAACACCTACCGCCCAAGTAATCAGCAAAGTTAGCAAGGTTTTGTTGGTTTTCAACAAATGGCACGGAACGAAAAAAAAAAAAAAAAAAAGCTTTACTGAGATATTTCCTGACAACCTTGTGTGTGCCCAGTGTTGTGCTCAGTACTTATGTACTTGATGCCATCACTAGCACTAGTAAGCAAGTGCCCTCTGAGTACTTCTCAGAATCAATGTAATAGGCTTGGAGGCTGGGAGGGCAAGACCTCCCTCAGCTGGAGAGGACCAGAGCAGGCTCAGGGAGGAGCAGATGATTAAGACAACACTTGTCTCTCTTCCTTAGCACAGGCTACTAAGGGCCAAAGAAAACCAAACCTTTGGGCTACAAGCTCACCAGGGTCAGTTCTGGAGGGGCTTGGATGGTGGGCATGGGCAGGGCTGACACAGAACAGAGGCTCAGTAAATACTGAGTACTTTCTGAAAGGGTGAATCAATGATTGTGAAACAAAGCTGGGATCTTAAGCGTCATTGCCCAGAGGAAGGGAAGGCGGTGGTAGTAGTGGTGGTGGTGGGACCTCACCTTACCCAGCCAAAATCAGATTAAGCTGGTGCATGGACACTGTCCGGACAGTGACAAACTGGAGTTAAGGCCAAGGGAGTGGTGACAAAATGGTGGAGTGGGGTACCACAGCCACTCCTCTGCCCATCCTTCTCTAACCACCCCAAAACACTTAACGTGATCCTTCCCTGCCCCAGGCACCAAGCCAGGTGTTGGGGATATGAAGATATAAGAGAGAGGCCCTGTTTTCAAGGAGTTTGCAGTGATCTGGGGGAAACAAGAAATCAGTGGACTCTCTGGTGAGTTGCACGCAGTGCCAGCAGTTCTTAAAAAGTGGGGTTTAACAGAAGAATGATTTCATCTGCCTTGCTTAGTAACATCTCAAACAGTACAACCCCCGATGGTTTAGAAAGCACTTTCTCATGCAGTAGCTCATTTGACTGTTATGATCCTGTGAAAGAGGCAGGAATCATCGTGCCTGTTTTATGGATGAGGGCAACAGGGTCTGCAAAGTTAAACAGCTCATCTGAGGTCACTTGGTGAGTTAGAGGCAGAGTCAGAGATGAACTTGGGTTTCCAGATTCCCAGTTCAGTGTTCTTTTGACCATACCTGCTCGATCTTATTGTTAACACAATACTGGTGTAACACATTCAATTGGAAGCCATTACATTATGGGGATTTAAATATGGAAAGTAAAAAATTGTAAAGGTGTCCTACATTTAAAGACATCAGTTTTGGAAACAAGAGAACTTTGATTTTTCATATTTCCAAAACCACTGACAAAGATGAGACAGTCCTTGTGGGAGGGACAGAGGCAACTAGCTCAACAGGCCCAAAGGAACTGAGCTTATTAACTCCAGAAAAGGTAAAGCTTGATGGAAGTGACAACAGCCCTTCTGGCTTCACGTATATAAAGGGTGGCAAATGAATGGGAAATTAAGACGATGCTGTGGGGCTCCAAGAGAAAGCAACAGGATCAATGGGTGAAAGTTACAAGGAGCCAGATTTTTGGCTCAGCACAAGGAAAACTTTTCTAGACACTGGAGCTGACCAGGAAATGGAACGTGGACTCTAGGGAGGGTGAAGCGGGGACCGGGGCAATCATTTGTATGAGATTTTGTAGATGAACCCTGTGTAGGACAGGGGGCCAGATCCAATGACCCCTATGGTGCCTTTGATGAGTTTTTGTGACTCTTGGCTGCAGTGGCTTCTTGCACCCTTGAAATATGTCAGGACTTAACAGCTAACGGCCACATTGATAGTGGTAGCTGACCTGAGCACCTTGCAGTTTCTGATTATGAACAGGAACTCAGAGAAGGCAGGCTGCCTTTCCTTTATTTTCTATTGTTACCTTAAGAGTGGTCCCTAGGGCCTTGCCTCCACCCTCCTCCTCTAAGTAGGAGAGGGTGGGAATGCTTTTCAAGTGGCTGTTTCATATTGAAGATGATCCCCTGGGGCACTTCTGCACATCAAAGGAGAGTGTGCATGTCCTTTACTTTCAGATATTCAATCCATCAACACTTTCATATTGGGGTTACTTCAGAGAACGGAACAAAATCAGGTGATCAATAAGTAACCACTGTGTGCTTGCTACGTGACTGAGCAGTCTGGTTATGGATGAGACAGCCTAGTTGTACATGTGACATACACACATGAAACAAAAACAGCTACTAAAGATTAATGAGGAGTTAAACTGGGAGTGGCTAAGAGCACCCCTGGGCTCTAGAATCCAACAAACCTGGGGATGGATGGGAGCGCTGCTGTTCACCACTTGCATGCCCTTAGGCTGGTTACAGATTATTTTACCTCACTGAACCTTCGTTTGCTCATTTTTAAAATGGGAATAACCTTATTTCATAGGGCTTTGTGGACTAAGCTGGACACTGGGTAATATGCATAGCACAGAGCACATGGTAGTTGTTCAATAAATAATCACTACTATTACTATTAAGAATAGTAACAATATAATAAATCCTTAACTATAGGCTACAGCTTTTTTAGTAACTCAGAACAGCACTGATAAAGCTTAAATATAAAGAAAAGACTTCACAGAGACAGGCAGAATGACATTTAGACAATGAAGTCAGATAGATCTGGGTCCAAATCCCATTTCTGCCATTTCACAGCTGCGGGACATTGAGAAAATTCACTACTCAGCCTCAGTTTCCTTATATGTAAAGTAAGGATAGCAATAGTACCTGTTATAGTACCTATGAGAACTAAATAAGGTAACACTCAGCACACACACAGTGAGTACTCAGCAAATGTTATAATCACTATGGAAAACGTAAGATATCTGAGTTAGACACGAGAGGGATATGTTCATTTATACCTCACTCCTTACCCCAAAACTATATCTGTTTGATGTTTTACTACTAAAGAAAAAGGTTTGAATGAAACACAAAGTCCCCTACTAATTTTATACAGGATATTATAATTAATTCATCTTTAAATAAAAAGTTCTTATATCAAAAATCATGTCTTTTTCAAAAAAGTAACACTAATTTTTTCCATCAGGTGTGATATTAAAACCACATATTACTGAGGTAAATAATTACAAGTCGAATTTTCTCAAAGATCTGCCATCCAATGTCTTGTTTTTTTTTTTTCTTTTTCTTTTT